CGCCCACCAACCTCGAACCAGCCTTGCACGCAAATCGATCACATTGCAATCGGTTGCCTCTGAAGAGGCTGCATCCAGCAGCGTTCGCACGATTTGGAGCACATGTGTGGACACCGACCATGCACTTGTTTGTGCTGACATGCGGACGCCTTTTGGCGGAGGCCCACGGCGACGCTGTGAGCTCATTGACATCAGTCAACTGACGAAGCCAGCTGTTTTGATGGCCTATCAAAGTACGCTGACATGCGAGTTGAGTAAGAGCTCGCTGGAGACAATTGAAGGTCACTGGTCGCAAGTTCACCAGGTCTTACTTGAAGCAGGAAAATCTGCATGTGGTAAGTCTAATAGCCAACATAAACATTGGGTCTCTTCGCGGTATCTGGAACTTATCGATACGCGCGGGCATATTCCGGCTGGAAGCGAACACAATAAAACTCGCAAAGAGATCCGGGAAAATCTCCGTGCTAGCCTGAAGAGAGACCGCGAAGCCTGGTGGTATATTCGTGCGTCAGAGATGCAAGCGGCCGCTGCTCATGGTAACCATCGAAAGTTATTCCGTCTGATACGGTAAACGGGCAGCAGGAGAGCTGGTGTTGATGAAACAACGTGTGACGAGAGTGGATAGCTGTGTTCCTCGATTTCAAGAGTGCGTTCGATTCAGTCGATCGATGGATTCTGTTCGAAATACTTGGGCGGATAGGTGTTCCCACGAAATATGTGGACATTCTTCGTGCTCTATACTCGAACACTAGAGGCCGCGTCAGGGTCTATGGTGCCTTATCGGATAGCTTTTCGACTACAAATGGCGTTCGACAGGGTTGCCCGATTTCCCCGTTTTTGTTCAATTTCGTCGTGGATTCTATCATGGAGTGTTCCCTTGCGGAATCTCACGATGTAGGTGTTGAAGTGCTGCCTGGTGAACGGTTAGTTGATCTAGATTATGCGGACGATATCGTCTTGCTTTTCGACAATGTTGAGGCGGCACAATCAACCCTGAATAGCCTATCCAGATTGGTCCCATTATTTGGTATGCACTTCGCACCTTCAAAGTGCAAAGTGTTGCTGCAGGACCACCAGCCACTCGATGACCCCTTGATGCTTGCTAACGAGGAACTCGAGGTGGTTGATCAATTCACTTATCTTGGCAGCTGAATCAGCAATGATGGGCGCATAGAAACTGACGTGAGCACACGCATTGCAAAGGCCAGAACTGCATTCTTGAACCTGCGGCATCTTTGGCGACAGAAGGGAGTTTCCCTCCGTCTGAATGGCCGTGTATACAAGGCCACAGTGAGGGCCGTTCTGCTCTATGGTAGTGAGACTTGGCCCCTTCGGTCTGAAGATCTGAGGCGCCTTCAAGTCTTTGATCATTGTTGTTTGCGAAGCATTGCTGGTGTCGGATGGCACCAGCGTGTCCGCAACGATGATGTGCGTAGGTGAGTACTAGGTGGTGATGATCATGCTAGCACCCTAGAACAACAGATAGCACTGAATAAGTTGCGTTGGCTCGGGCACGTGCTACTCATGCCTGGTCACCGCTTACCCAGGAGGGCCTTGTTCAGTCTACCTGGTGTCGGATGGCGCAAGGCTGGAGGTGGACAGAAGTTGACTTGGCAGCGTGAAATGAAGTCACTGACGACCAAACTGGGTGCCGTTGATCCTTCTCGCCTTCCGGGTTGGAGTCCACGTGACTCGCCTTGTGCTTGGTTCGAGACTTTGCAGGACATGGCTCGCAACCGACACCAGTGGCGCATCTGCTGCCGTCTCCTAATCGGATTGTCTGTTTAAAGTGTGTTTGGTGCTGAGTTATCTGGGGGGTAATGACTGATTATGACGCGTGACAGTGAAAGCCGCAAGGAAGGTGTCTCGCCGATGCCGCCTTATCTTTGCACGATAGCCAGCTGTTTGTGACGGAATGTTGTCTACACAAGGTGTAGGCGCCTTGACCCAGAATGTTTGCTTACGGCATTAAGGTTTTCAGGTAAGTCCCTCTTCTCTCCCTCTTCTTATTCTTTGTTTCATAGGTCCTCATGGTTGTATGGCAGCGAAGCATCAGTTCAAATGGCTGATGTTGTGCGGTTGATGATGATGATGATGATGATGATGATGATGATGATGATGATGATGATGATGATGATGATGATGATGATGATGATGGATAGCCTATCCACAATTTGTCAAAAGGTTTAGAGCTTTGGGCTGAGCACTTTGAAAAGCAATTTAATCGGCGAAATTGTTCGATACCTCACCAACACTTGATCGCCCCACTCCGTGGGCTGTCCTTTTGGATCCGCCCTTTCGTTTAGAACTTAAGCGTGAGATCGGACTGTCGAAGTTAAATAAAGCCGCAGGACCAGCCCTCTCAAATTCATTGGGTCTGCTTTTGTGGATAATGTACACGAGTTACTAGTGAAACTGTGGGAGCAGGAGACTGTTCTCACCGAATGGAGCCGCTCCGCTATTGTTCCCATCAAAGGAGGCTCGCGTTCGGAATCAGTCTGATCCCCATCGCCTCCAAATTACTTACCTCTGTAATCCTTCAGACACTGGCTGACGCTCGTGAAAGCCAGATTCGTGACGAGCAAGCCGAGTTTCATCGGGGTCGTGTCTGCATCGACCACATCTTCACCTTGCGTCAGTTGTTGGAGCACCGTCACACATATTGGCGGCCCACCGTAGTCGCGTTCCTTGACATCAAAGGTGCCTTCTTTTCGGTTGATCGATTTGCCCAGTGGCACTGTCTACTCAGGAAAGGTGGGCCCAAGAAATATGTAAATATCACCATAGCTTTTACGCGCGTAACTCAGACAGAGTTAGGCCTTACAGCAAGCTGTCGCTGCCCTTCCATACCTCCAGCGGTGTGAGACAAGGATGCCCGTTGTCACCTTTCCTCTTCAACTTCGCTATTGACGAAGTCATACAAATTGCGCTCACAGGATACGAGTTTGAAGGTGTGGATCTGCTCCCAGGAGAACGACTTCTCGACTTGGAGTATACTGACGATATTGCCCTGATCTGTGACAGCCCACAAACGTGCCAAGCGGCACTGAACAGATTACCACTGGCTGTCAGCCGCTTCGGGCTTTGCTTTGCACCATCGAAATGCAAAGAGTTCCTCCAAAAGTGGCAGGGATGGCCTCCTGCGCTGACCCTTGGTGGGGATCAGCTAGAAGTCGTTCGGGAATTCAACTACCTGGGAAGTTGTATCAGGACCCGTGGGATTGAAGATGAGATCACGAACCGCATAGCAAAAGCTCGAGGCGCTTTTGCTAACCTTCGCAACTTATGGCGCAGGCGCGACATCACTCTCGCCCTGAAGGGTATAGCGATATTTTCGACTCTACTGTACAGTTGCGAAACCTGACCCCCTTAGATTAACGGACGTATAATAATAATAATAATAATAATAATAATAATAATAATAATAATATAATAATGTGTCAGCTGTACGCCGTAACGGCGCTTCGCTGCCGCGCGACCACCACCAGTCGCGCGCGGGCTGTGTATACCGCGAGGACGCCCACCCCTACGCGGATTCGAACCGGTGACCTTATGGTTGCAAAGCAAACATGCAGACCACTCGGCCACCGGCCGACGATTAACGGACGTAAAGAGGCTAGTTACATTCGACCACCGGTGCCTTCGCAGTTTGGCTCACATCTGGTGGGAACACCGAGTAGGCGACGATGGTGTTCGACGCCTTGTTTATGGCACAGGAAAAGGAACTGAACCGCTCAGCACCGTCATTTTCCGCTCCAGGCTCCGATGGCTCGGCCACGGGTTGCGCATGCCAGCGCATCGACTTCCACGACGTGCGTTGTTTGCTCACCGGGAGTGTGGATGAAGAAGAGAAGAGGTGACCAAGCGATGACTTGGTCGAAACGAATGAAGGCCCTCACTTCGTAGCTGGCCTCGGTTGCAGCTTCACGGCTCTCTGGTTGGGGTCCAAAAGAAGATGAACATGTTTGGCTAGATACACTAGCTGAAATGGCTAGGAGCCGACCTCAGTGGCGTTCGTGCTGTGAGTTTCTTTGTCCCTCCCCATCCTTTTTAGCCTCCCGCTCCAACCACGACCTCATTTCGTAGCGTAATATAATTTTATATAATAATTTTTCTTGTTGCCTAGTAACCGGCTGCTAGCTCTCCGGAACGATGCCGATCCGTTGCTGATAGCTAAGCTGGCATGCAACTGTTGTATTTGTTTTCTTTTTTATGTATTGCGGCACAGTAACTGAGGTGTTTTACATCTCTAACGTGCGTAATAACAATAGTGTATGATCCAAGAAAGTACAAAGGTTGCGCTTGCTTCATTTCTTTTGCATGGTTAAGGAAGATAACTCAGAAGTCAAAGTACTGGGGGAGCTGGTTTACTTTTCGTTACAAACAGGACACTCGTTAGAGGTGAACCAATTTTCGTCCTTGAAAACTGACTTGACTTGACCTGACCTCATATGTCGCCTCCTTGGATCCACGTGATACATTTGTCAGGTAGATATGATTAATGTAATCCACAATAGCGCAGTTTAGGTAACGGAACACTGGGAGTTAAGAGCAATAGCCAAACGTTTTTATTAATGTCCAAAGTAAGGCAGGTTACAACTGAGTTTACGAGAGAGTTCCAGGGTTGAAAAACGAGAACAGAAAAGTAATTTCGTCGACACTTCAAACGGCTCTATTGTTCACTCAGTTTCAGGCAGTTACCTCTGAGCTTGGTGTTGTGGCTGAGTTTCAGCAAAGGATGACAAACGTACGGTTGGTGGCAAATGTAGCGAGATTTGAAAGCTTCCCTGAAAATTGTTCCAAACTGCCTGTATTGGTGTACATTTATCCCCGATTTTGCAATTTTTTCTCAAGAGAGTAAGATTCCGTCTCTTTGTTTACGTCTATCGTATAGTTATTGCAACTTGAGACTCTCCACCGTATTATTGATTAATCGTCGACCAACCGATTCAAAAGCAGAACCAGTAGTGGCTTGAGGACAAAACCGGAAGGAAACAAAAATGGTATGTTTTCTCCATTGAAGTAGTTTCTAATTTATCACAATGCTTATGGGCGTTTGAAATGCGTGAAATGCTCATAGTATCATATTGTCACTCAGCAGTAGATTCTAGTTACTGTGTACGTTTTAGATCAGGCTACATAACATGCTATTCTCCTTTGTCGGTTCTACCGATAGATGATTTGCAACGGTTGTGTCGATGACATTATGGTATCCAGTTGCTCACTCGAATCACTGACCAATAAAGAAAGCCCATTAGCTGCATTGCATTCATTCATACTAAGTGGCCGAAGTTAATCACCTGAACCTTACTTTGACCGGTTTCCGGCAGTCTACTTCGATCGAATATTCATCACCTAAGTTACAGTGATAGTCAAAACGATGCAACGGTGCGTAGACACGGTAGCTATAAGTATACATCAGTCTACAGGGATACCCATTGAACCATTGGAAGCCATGTCATGTGGAACCAGAGTTATTATATATATATATATATATATATATATATATATATATATATATATATATATTTGCAAAGATCTACGAATAGACACACTGCCATCAGAAACCATGGGATTCAAACGAAGGTACAGAAATAGTAAAGGAAAACACAACACAACAATGTCCATGGTTTCGTCAGAGGGCGAGATAGTACCCGATTGCCCAAGCCGAAGTAGGGTGTTGACTTAGGGGACACCACCCCAAGCCTTTGGCTGAATAGCCTGTCCGCAAGGCAGCGGAGCGAAATCAGGGAATCGCACCCATTGGGAGCCGGCGACTGATTGTTCAGTTCATACGCCTTTCGTTCGTGCCTTTGTCAAACAGAGGCCCAAAACTCCCCAGAACTGCAGCATTACGTTGCTGGAATACAATGTTCGCCAGGATGAAGCAAAGCATAGTGACTTTATTTAGTGGCGAATCACGTCCGCCACGTCACAGTGTTGTTAAACGGACATATGTGGCTTTTTATAGGGAGAACGTTTGCCAGGCGAAAACCCATCACGTCCTGGAACACTGCCGCCAAACCATTTGCTGGAAAGGGGAAAATCCCGAACCACCCAGCTAGCATCACGAGGAGGTTGTTCGGCGAGCCAACCACCAGCGTTATTAAGATGTACAACAGTCAAAAGAATGAAGCACTGAGAAGAACAGAATATTTTGGCCCTTTTTGATGTCATTAATGATTTTGAATTCTGGAATTCAAGCAGTTTTCACACCGCTTCCACTGCTACCAATGTTATTTCGAGCGTCTCATCAACGGACGCAGTTTTATCTACGACTGACACGCTTAGGTTGTGGTTACTAAGAAATTCCAACCCAGTTTGTGAAAGGCTTTCTTCCACATAGTCGGAAGCTTAATATCTCCGTTCACTGAGTTAGACTATCCTTTACTCGGATATATTCAGTTCCACATGTGAGAAGCTGTAACCTTAATTTGTCATTTGCCGAAGCCTTTTGAATTTACGAAGCCCAAATTTCAGCAAAAATGATCTAAATTTCGTTCGTTGATCGACGGTTGTTTGTTAGCAGTCGTGTGGTCCATCGCAAAATCCTATGCTAAAACTCTCGTATTTTTTCATCGACTGATAACGACAATTAATCAAAAAAGCCATTGTTTGCATTCACTTTGACCCAGGAGCTAGACACCGTCTCTACTGCAAATGATATTAGTTTTAAAATGCACACAGTTCCGTCAAACGTCACTTGACATTATTTCACTTAAGTTCGAAGGAAATAAATGAGCCAACTGATGTGCATGCTGTATGTCGAGTTCCCTGAGAAATAGCTTAATCCACACTTGATTCCGGTGAAATGCATGTACACTGACCTTGTTCATGTCTCTAGTGAAAAGCGATCTAAGACGACCACGTCTAGGTGATGTTTTCCATCTTTCATGTGAAATTGTACTAGCGTGAACCCCATCGGATGAATCGAATGATTATGTTTTGTTGCACTCTACCCTTTTCTCTAACGGCCCAATTGCAGCGTGAAGTGCTTTCCATCCACGTTGGTCAGGCGGGGGTTCAGATGGGTAGTGCAATCTGGGAGCTGTACTGTGCTGAGCACGCAATCGGAATGGACGGATACCAATTGCAACAGCCTGCTGAGCAAGAATGTCAGTCGACTTTCTTTCACATGTCGCCCAAAGGACAGTGCATTCCGCGCTCCATATTCATTGACCTAGAGGCGTCAGTAGTCGGTAAGTACTAGTGAGTTCGATTTCAAGCCATATTCGCACTACTGCATAAACTGACATACGTGACGATACGTCTAGCACAAAGAACTTATCGTGCGTTGTGATGGTAGGGCTTCGGTGTATAAGACGAGGTAAACGACAAAAGAGGATTTAACATTTATCATTTTCCCCCGCAGAGTCCTTGAGATTTTACAGCGTTTTAAAGCTGGTCGAAGCATCAGTTGACCATTAGTGTAGTACTTATATACATATGGCCATGAGAATGGAGTGGAGGTCTTACTGAGGCGGCCGAATCTAAACTGACGTCCACTGGTTCGTTCCTGAGAGACAGTCCAGTGTGTCATCCCTTTGACTCCACTTGACACGAACGACCAGTGCATGACGAGTTTAGTTTGTACTTAGCCTGTGTCATTTCCGGGAGTATTGCAACCTTTTTCACGCAGCGAAAGACTCTTAGTTCGAATCGCACTAACCCAGGGGATAAGTAGGTGGCCTTGCCACATAAAGAAAGAAGTCATCATGACCAAGCTCAAACAGTCATCGAATTCTTTGCGAGACGACTGATGGCTGTCTGGTTGAGTCCAGGTGCGACTAACCACCAGGTCCTACAGCCATCTCTACCTGAGCAGGCTATATAAGTATGCAAACAGAAGTGACCTTCAGCCTTGGGATTCTAACCACGGCGAAACCTCATCACTCAATACCGCTCCCATGTAAACACTACGACTGTCTCGTGAAATTGTCTGTGCCGAGTTTGTCGGTTGTAAGTTAAATGGTGGCTACTTGAGAAATTTTTACTCTATTGAGTCCAGTCTCAACATTTGAGTGCTAGAAACGAGTATGGTAAGAGATAATGGACCGCCCAGGCTGTAGGTACCAATGTAACCATATCGATCATTGCTCTGTAATCAAAGTTGCTCCCTGGTAGGTGGAAATTTTGCGGTTTCAAGCCTTGTGGGAGTGCAGCTGGAACAAAACAGACGTCCGCTTTGTCTCAGGACGAGCGGTTCTCGGTATTGCCACTGTCAATGGAACATTGTCATCATGACGGGTGGCTAGGTTTCAAAGACCCAACGTAAGGCCAAACACATTGCCTCCCACCTGCGTCACCTTTAGGATAGGAGACTATTCCATGAATAGTAGTAGGGCCGATAACGGCTGTCCAGCGAGGTCGATTAAAAGTGCCATGCAGCCACCGCATTTATGGTTAATAAGCGTTGTGAACAACTCAAATAATGGAACCCGCAGAACGCTGGTACACCGGACCGACGCCTCACTGCAACATGATCATACTGTGTCACGCACGGACTATATATATCTGGTTGGCGGCATGCGGTTCCGGATTTGCGTGTCACTGCGACCTCCACAGGGACAGCCACAGGACACCTGCGCTTACAGAGGGACCATGGGCAGTTTGCGCCGCACCACCCACAGCTCCAACCAGACACCCCATATCCGTGTAAACCCGAAGGAATAAGACCGGGAGGCATGTGAATGGGAGCCAGGTTTCTTCGACGGAGCTGGCCCAAACTCCTTCACAGGCAAACACAAGCACACTATATTTAGGGAATCAAGCGCACATATGGCAGTGGCTGAGCCGTAGTCCACTCTACAATAGATGGAACCACTCTTTGAACCGAGCACGGCCACGAGGGCGGTGCACTCCGTCCCCTCCAGCAACATCCAACTGTCTCCTGGAGCCAGTATGGACGATGTAGTGGGTAATAGACAGGTAGACACCTTGTCAACATGCACATCAAACGCAACCACAATAGAGATGTCAATCCGCATCTAATCACTTGAAGTGACAATATTAGATAAAATGGATCGAAAAGATATTATCGATATGCCGACATAAATCTTAGCTACATTAGCACATGAAATACCGAATATTACCGAATATAAGCCAGTCCATAGGTAAGCCGACAGTACAACTTTGCAACATCAAAATGTCCAAAATTTTAGGTCGCTGTATTAGCGGACTCCTAAAAATTCAGCAAAGTGAAACGACATTCTTTTCCATGCTTTTGATGTCATCAATACTTGCTTCCACTTGTGTGAGCAAGTGAAACTTGCTCTACCATTGGTCAGTTGTGGTGACCGCAATATCTTATAATCGAGGTTTATGCAGCGTAGGGTCGTCAGAAAAGAGTTTCACCGCACTGGACAGTGTAGTGACCGAAAGTCAATGCACATGAAATTCGTAAGATAGGCAACAATACAGGTGCGGGCCTCAAGCATATGAACGACAGTAGAGCATTGGATGAGAGCGAATATCACGGTAAGGGGTGTGGGACGACGTTGTACTTTTAAGGCACCGGATCGCCTGGCATAACATAATGTTTAAGGGCTTTTGATTCGCTACTGCCATCCGCCACGTATGTCAAATGTGCAATATACCGATAACTTGCGATAAAAAAAACTAACGTGTTCAGGTACAGGCACTCCAAATCCGCGTCTAGAATACCGTCCGTCATTAGCGGGTGGTGCTAAGAGTAGATAAGGGCACAGTTGGGCTGTGCAGTCCTGGGTGGATTTCGCATGTGACTTTTTGCAACAACTTACATATGCAACAAACGGGAGGAAATAAACCGAGTTAACCACCTTTTGATTAAGCAATGTATGCAAGTAGATAGATTATTCAGGTTGGCATTAAAAGGAGGTAACGAAATAAGCATTAGGACAATACAGCAAAACAACCACCTGAAGTAAACAAACTCAGCACCCAAGCACTCAGTTAGTAAAGCGAACGGGAGCGTATGCAGCGTACCTACCAACGCTGTGACAGTCAGGCTTACGTTCTCAACAGGACCCGTCGTCGTTGCCGTATATATATATATATATATATATATATATATATATATATATATATATATATATATATATATATGGCGGGAGAGCCAATGGTGCGCTGAGGCAGGTGGTGGCTAGATCCTGACAGATGGTCTACCCACTGCTGCTACTGTTGTGCCAAGTGCTCATGTCCTGGACGCCTTCTCGTGGCGACCACCGGGTGGAAGTTGGGTTGCGCCCTTCTCCCTGCTAAGATCCAGGACACTTATCCGCATGAGTCAGTGAACTGACCATGTGCTAGACCTTCTGCCTTTCGGGTGTACATTTAACCGAAGGCTTTAGATGAGGACCTGAGACGTTCTCCTGTCAGATGTGGGCGTCCTGCCAGTATCTTATTCCATCCTCTTCAGAGGTTAGGAAGTGCTCGATGAACCTCTTCTCGTAAAACCTAGCCATGGGAGACAGTATATCTACGGGTCATAAGCTCACAGCTCGATTGGCGTAGAGCACGAGCGCCACACATCGTCTCTGACGGGTGTTCAATGCTTTGATACTTCGCGCGTCAAGCCAGACAGCCCCTGGTCAAATTGGTGCAAACCCGCCAAAACCCACCTGCGTCTGGCCATGGTCGCAGGTGCGTATCCTACTACGGTCGCAAAACATGTAAGAATCTTTCCAGTAACTCAAAGGCTGCGTGTGACGGCCATCAGGCATATCTCACTCTGTCTCTGCAATCACATTCCCGAGCTAGATCTGTTCCCCACTGCCTTGTGGGTCAGGCTATTGAGCCAAAGGTTCCGGATGGCGTCCCGCAAACAAACCTCCGAAGCACAACCGCCACCTCGCGTGCGATTGCCCACCAATGCCATCGTATGCCTGCGCGCAAAGCACTCAGAATCGGGTGCTGGAACGTGCGCACATTACTGGACCGGAACTCGAGTGAGTGCCCCGAGCGACGCACTGCACTGGTCGCAATGGAACTGACGCGACACCACATCGATATTGCGGAGCGCAATGAGACTGGGCTCGCTGAACAAGGTAAGTTGCATGAAGCAGGTGCTGGCTACACATACTACTGGGTGGGCAACGGCGCCTCAGCACCACGTGAGCATGCGGTCTGATTTGCAATATCCGATCGTCTAAACCACCAGCTGGTGGCTGAACCAAAAAGCATCAGCGCGCGACTGATGACTGTTCGCCTACGACTCGGAAGAGGTAAGTTTGCCACTTTTATAAGCACGTACGGTTCGACCATATGTTATCCTGATGACACGCGTGATCAATTCTACACGCAGTGATCCTCCGTGTTACGGTCTGTGTCGCGGAGCGACAGACTATTTCTGCTGGGTGATTTCAACTCGCGTGTTGGGCGTGATGCATCGGTTTGGACATATGTTATCGGTTTGCATGACATTGGTTCAGCGAATGCGAGCGGTGACAGGCTGTTCTCACTGTGTGCCACTCACAGCTTGGCGATCACAAACACTCGGTTTGCATTGAGTGTGAGTGAGATAGCAACTTGGACGCACCCATGGAGTGGTCACGCTCACCTGCCCATCTATGTCATCGTACGTCAGCATGATATGCGTGAAGTGCGCATGACACGGGTACCGCGTGGAGCTGAGTGTAGCACTGATCACAAATTGGTGCAGACCAGTGTACATATATTTTCGTAAATCTATATATTGCACACTCGCCGTGAATCAACGTAAATTTTACATTCTTTACCTCGGTACTGTGGAGAAACATATTGAGTTGGAGAGCCAGGGCTGCACGACTGTGTGATGTGGAATGCATAGCCACAGTGGGCGACCAGTGGCACCACATTCCCGACCAGTTGACAGCTGCTGCCGAGGAGATCATCGGGCGCGCAAACTGTAAGCGGCCTGATTAGTTTGATGAGAACAATGCGACGGTTGACGCATTGGTGTGTGAGAAGAGCGCAGGATTTTCTGCACATGTGGTAGACCCCAGTGACTTGGGGAAGAACAGTCAGTTTCGCAAACTTCGACGGCGACTGACCCGAGATCTGTGTTGCATTAAAATGCATGGTGGACGGAGACGGCGAAGCGGATGGAATGCTACGCCGAACGCCGCCAACACAAGGAATTCTTTGATTCTTTGGAGGAGGTGTATGGACCGAGGTCGGAGCCGCTGAGGACGCTGATCGATGGTAGTTCAGGCGCTACCTGCATACAGACTGCAGACATATTGCAGATCTGGCAAAAACACTTTAACTGTCTCTTGAACAACCATTCAGAGATCGACTGGCCAAGTTTGAACGGCCTCACGCAGCACGATGTGAAGGCGAGTTTGTCAAACACGCCGACACTGGATGATACTCAGAGAGCACTTGCTCAGCTGCGAAACGGCAAGCGTGCTGGGGCCGACGGGATCCCGCCAGTAGTATTGAAACACAGCGCAGCCGCGTTGTTGACTGCGCTGCACCACTTGATGCAACATGTGTGGATTGAGGATGGGGTGCCTGCTGAGCTGAAGGATGCCCTTGTGCTACCCCTGTACAAGGGTAAAGGGAGTCAGCAATGTTGCACGAATTATCGTGGCATCAAGTTGCTGAGTTGTGTGGGCAAGGTGATTGCCCGAATCCTGCTCAACCACCTCGTAAGTCAGGTTGTGAAACCGAACGTGGCGGAAGAGCTGTGTGGATTCCCCTCGGGTCGCAACACTATAAATATGGTGTTTGCAGCTCTCCAGTTGCAGAAGAAGCGTTGAAATTGACATCAGGTGTTGTGCTCGCTTTTGGTTGTTTTCACCAAGGCATTTGAAACGATGAACCGCGGGGCATTGTAGCTAGTGTTGGGTAAGTTTAGTTGTCCGAGTAAGATTCTAAGCTTAATTGCATGTTCTCACAATGTTATGCGGGCGTGGATGCAGCTGAGTGGAGAGACCTCGGAAGAATTTGCATTTGTCTCTGGTGTGAAGTAAGGCTGTCCTAGCTCCTGCTCTGTTTAACATCTATCTTCATGCAATGTTGTCTTGTGCTTGTGATGCGGCTTGTGCCTACGGTGTTGGTGTGAAGCACCGTATTGATGGTGTGTTGATGAACATTCGTCGTTTCGGTGCGAGAACTCTAGTCTGTGAGATAACTATCCGTATGTTGCTGTTTGCTGACGACTTTGCGTTGTCTGCACACAGCGCGGATGAGTTGCAGCACAAGACTAGTGCGCTGGCTTCGACATCGGCCAAATTCGGACTCACCATCAACACAAGTAAAAGTCCGTCTCCTTCAGACTTCACCGGAGGTA